CTCTCGCTCTCGCTCTCGCTCTCGCTCTCGCTCTCGCTCTCGCTCTCGCTCTCGCTCTCGCTCGCGCTCTCTCTCTCTCTCTCTTTTCTTTCACAGCAACCCAGTTGGCGCAATCGCAGTGCACGCAATTCAACACACTCAGGACAACATCGCTTTCGGCAGTGGTGGAGCTTTGCTGCAAAAGTTGAACCGAGACACCTTCAAATGTGCTTTCAAGCCTGGCAGCTCAGACCGACGCCACTGCCATTGACATCCATTGACCAAACCATTTCCAAAGCATATATATTATATATATATATATATGTATATCAAGTTTCATTATTGGGTTGGAGGCCATCACTAGTAGATAAAGTCTTGACGTGGCAACCTTCTCTCCTAGTCTCAGTCTCCTGGACTTGAAGATTCGGGTGGTTGAAGGTGTGCTGAAATCACCATCAACGGAGAGAGCCGAGATGTGCAAGGCTCTCGGACCAGTTGTTTGTTTATGTAGCAGTACCTGTTGTGGTACGGCTGTTTTGCTCATCACTGTGAACCGCAATGATTAGACAGACTGAGGTTCAAGGACCCCATCACCGACAAGGGCAAGGCTCGGTGGCCTCGTAGTGGATCCTATATAATGATATGATAACTATAGTTACGTATATATACGATAATTATTTGTACAATATGATATGTACATACATGTACTGGAGAGAACATATAATATATATTATATATACTATACTTGTTGATGTCGTGGTGCGATGTATATATTCAACTGTTTTATTTCCACTTGCAGAGCTTGCGGGCTTTTGGATATTGGCCAATTGTCACCTTTTTCTGTTGTACCATCCCTTGAAATTTGCAGCATTCCTTCTTAGTGGCTTGATTCATGCAGATACTTGTGCACTCAATGAACAGGCCTCCAAGAAGGGCCGCTTGACGCTCCAGTTGGCTTCCGCGACTTGGAGAAGACGGTAGCGTGTTGTAATTAGGCCACTGAAACCACTTTTGTTCTCCAGCATCAAACTCATAGGCAATGTTTGTAAGTGGTACTTGTTGACATCTGAGACTTTCTGGATCAAATTGTCATACTCAAGTTTTGGTCATAGACCTAGAGGAACACCTGAGGAGTTGAGTTGAAAGGGTTACTGTATATCAGGGAGTTTTTGAACCAAACATAGGTGTTTAGGTGTTTGCTACCAGAGTTCTGCACGCACGCACACCCTGCATATTCAGGAGACAACTGGCTTCTCCGATAGTGACAAGTGCGCAGTGTAGTGAGGGTGGATATCTGGTCAGCAAACTCAATTTTCTTTGGCATGTGGCTGGCAATTGTTACCAGTATATCAAAGTATATCTTGAAGTTGGGCTTGACTGACACTGTTTATATTCGGCGCTAGAAACGCCTTGCCCAAACGCAATCTCGCCCCTGTGAAAATGGCCAGGTACAAGCCCCGCTCGGATGCAAACCCAGTTCCAGGTGGCACGGGCTTCTTGCAACTTGGTGATTGGCGTAAAATGCATATATTGGAATATGTTGGCCATAGCGTTGCTTTCGGATCGGTCAGAATAATTAAAGCCAATTAGTGACTAGTGGACCTGCGCACGCGCACACACATACACATTGCAGCGATCACGATCGAGAAGAGGAGCGACATGCTGGTGTGATCGAGAACACAAAGAACTTTGTGATCAAGACAACGGTTTCCAACATTCAACAACCCGAGAAGCCTTCAAAGTACATGAGCGACGTCCCTGACTTAGCCTCTTGCCATACGATGGAAACCGAAGGTAGGTGGTGTCGCAGGGTAAGCAGCCCTGATGTCCTCCCTGCTATTTGACCTTCCTCGTTGCACGTTCCCTTCATCAACCAGTCCATGACGACGTCATGTGCCGCCTCGAACGGGCAACTAGCAGGCCCCTTGAGCGCCCACGGCTTTGAATCAGTTCTTAGTGGGGCACGCAAGCCTTTTCTGTGCCTCCGGACTTTGACTCTCGCCACCTTCTGGGCCCTGGCCCTGAGGTTGATAGAGGGCGAGTTCGATGAGCCCGACGGCCCACGAGGAGCAACTAGCCACTGAGGTCCTGACGATCCCGGCCGAGGGCGCGTGCGTTCTGCGAACTGCCTGAACGAGCTTGGGTATGGAACCTTTGTTGATCTCAAGGCCTTCGCGATGTAACCCAGAGGTGACTGTGTACAGATGGGTCTGCGCGCCCCATAGCGCACTGGAGGGCTATGGCGATGGCTCGGCGCAGTAGGGACCACGAAGGTGTCCCTGGTCCCTTCTTGCTTCATCAATTGCGAGTCCGTGTTTGGGGGGCCAGGGACAACTCGCAACTGCCTGGGCCCCCCTTCTGGTCTATCGTGTCTACACCATTCTACAACGATCCAAACAAAACCCGCGTGTCACCAGCGGGGTCGCGCGCGCACTCTTAGACAAAGGGGCCATGCAATCGACATTCTTTTGCAAGTGGTTGGATCCATTGATTCCAAACCAACCTCAACCGCAACCACAACCAACCTTCTAAGGTTTGCAGACTTCCGCAACAATCCTTAGTTTTGCAGACCACCACAGAGCACGTAGAGCGTTGGAAAAACCTGGGCCTGGGATCGTTTCTTTTTGTCTCGTTTGTCGATTAGCATCTACTTTTGGGGGGGGGGTTCCTCGATCCTATTCGTCTAGCTCGCTAACCTCAGGCCTTCTCAAAATTATCTATCTGCACTGGTTGTGTACTTTTTTTTGGGCCTTATGTTGGCCCTCTGGCCTTCAAATTTATCCACCGGTTTTGGCTGAAAACCCGTCAGTCCCTGGAAATTATCCGGTACTGACCCCGGACGCCAGTACAACGGGGTATGTGATTGCCTCGTTGCGGCTGATGGGCCGGCTGATGCAAATAGTGCTGCCAGTAATACTGCTGCCACTGTGCGTCCATGATGAGCGTACCCGGATACGGGAAATCAGAAAGATCAGGGGGACGTTCGAACGAAACAGCTAACGGGATATGTGAAGAGGTGTTCCTGTGACATAGGTCAAAGATACCAATCATGGTGGGAATCCAAAACATGTTAACGGTCAGGGGGAAGGTTGGTGGTGACTGGTGCAATGAATGTGGCAGTTGACAGCAGAAAGCCGCAGGCCGCAGCGCGCAGTGTTATTTTTCAAGGAGTTTCACCTGTGTTATGGCAAACGATGCCGTTGAAATCATTGAGAGCCGAAATAGTGTTCGCCTAGGGATCCGGTAACATGGAAAATACAATAAGTCAGAAGGAGTACGAACAACTGAAGTTCACCAAGGAAACAAAGAACTCATTAGTGTTTGGCCGGAGAGTGGAGTCACTGCGTCGTCAACAGTTCAAAAGAAAGCAGGTACGTGGAGTTGGTCACTCCATATCAGTCGTAGCATAGCATAGCCCTCTTCGTTGGGCAACCAGCTACGCGCACGAGGTTGCCCCCTATATCAGCTGAAAAGCGCCCGGCAGTGCTTTAAAATCCCAAGGGCTTCACAATCCAAAATATTGCGCGCGGAACTGAGTGCCTCATGCCACACGCCCACCTAGGTATGACCGCCCAAGGGTTCAGGCAAGTCGGCGCAAGGGTTGGTAGTCTTGTTTTCTAGTGAAAGCAGGGACCAACGGCGTGAGAACCACCAGCTGCGCTTAGATGCCCAGGTGCGCTTACACGTCCAATCTTTCACCGTCTTCGTTGGCTCTGGCGTGAAAAGTGGACCCAGAGCCCCCTGCTGAAAATCCATAACTTCGAAGGAAACCAAATGATTCCAAGGGTTTCACACACACGCCTCCCGATGAGGGAAGCAACATTATACAAAAATATTCTATTGCGCGTGTGTGCGCGCAGCAAGGACAAGATGAAGACATCAGAAGGAGGACGAAAAGTGTGTGTGGTCGCGATGATGGAGAAACCTTAAGTGCGCGGGGGCAACCGATGAACCAGACCTAATTGTCAAAACCTGGGCGACCAAACCTGCGTTAAAAGTCAGTTGTGGGCGTACACACTAAGGGCCGCGACAAGTGGGTGGGTGTTCTGGCGGCGAAGTCGTGGGAGAGGGGATCTTGAGCGGTTATGTGGTTCAGATTCTGAGGCAGAGGTGATTGGAAAGGACATGCTGAGGAACGGTGATTCGGCGCCCGGTGGGTTAGGAGGTTGAGGAGCTGTGGGGGAATGTCAGTGCGTGAGGTGCTGTTGGAGGAAGGGTAGGTGTGGCCAGCGGTGTTGCTGCGCAGCCTGTGGGAGGGGGCTGAGAAGGTGCGCCTGCTGGTGTGGATTGAGCGGTGGAAATATGTGGTTGTAGTGGTTGTGGATGTGGACATGATGACAATGGGATGTGGCAACCGGTACTTGTTCGCGAAGAACAACGGTGGGTTGGGAATGTGAGTGCGGGGTAATGGTGGGTAATGCGGCGGGATGCTGTGTTGTGGTGGTGGGACAGATGCTGCCAAGTCTCTGGATGGTGTGCGGGAATGGGTTGACGGTGAAGTGGAGGGTGTTGGTGGAAATGGGTCGTTGGCCAGTTGTATTGAGGTGACGGCTGCTGCTGGCAGAAATCCCGAGGATTAAGACATGGCTGGTTGCAATCAACGAACTTGAATGTCCAAGAAACGTATGTATACATATATATACTTTTTATTTATAAACGAGGTAGTCAATGAACTCGGCGATAATGCGCGCGAGGGTCAATGTAAAAGTAAATTCTCAGAAAATTCATGATTTAGTTTCTACACGTACTTGATTCAGAACTGATTTGAAATTACTAACATTGATTCGAAACTTGAGAAAAAGACATGTTCCGGGTGAGACGAATTCAGTGAGTACATTACAGTAGCTCTGCAGCATAGATTCAATTCAGTGGGTGACGCGTATTCAAAAAATTAATTTAAGCAAAAGATTCTGCGAAATAAGTTGGTTGTTGAAAGGATATCCAGTAAATTCTCTCCTACGTAGTAGGAAGAAGGACTCAGTAACGGCGCCCGTGTCGGGGATCACACAGCTTGCCGCAGTGGGAGAACGCTGCGACGCACACTTGAGAATAAAACTTTAAAAGCAGAGTTTCAGTGGAGATCTCGGGGAACATTAACACTTTAGGTTACTGATAGAGCGCTGAAAACTTGAACCTGCAAAACAGCCCTGTGAGGAACAGAAAGGCAAAAGAAAGGGCCGGCAAAAACAGTATTGTTTGAGTCCCTCGAAGCCGCAGGTACGTTCAGCAAGCGTCCTCCCCGAATTTCCCATCCGACCAGCAGTGTTTTTGTTAGGCAGTGACTGCTGAAGGGACCACTGCCCGCCTGCGAGGAACTGTGCAACCAAAGTAGTAATGAGGAATGCAATGAAATGACAAGTAGGGTCCTTGGAGACGGGAGGTGGCACACACACACACAACTGCGTGCGCACACGCACGCAGGGGGCTCATGATGTGCAGAACCACAACACGACTGTTGCACCGGGTCAAAGGTGTCATTGTCATGTGGCAGATCTAGGCACTACAGCACAGATGGCAAGTACGTCACCGTTTCGAGCGGAAAGGGAGATCCCAAGAAGGACATTATGGTCGATGTCTTCAAGGACGCATTGGTGTCAATCCATTTGGCCAAAGCTGTGACTGTGGCAAGGTGTTTGTCAGACATAGTCAGAGACGCACTTGTATGAGTCTTGTATTGAAATATTTTTGAAGAAGCAATCATAATTAGGTTATCGCGGCCGCTGCGATGGTATGCAATGATATGCTAGTCTTAGGAAAAACTGTTCCTGTTTCCATTTGTAGTGTGCAGAATGGAAGCCTTCTTGTGGACTACACGCTGGAACAGATTCGAGCCAAAGCAGACATCAAGTTGCCTGATGGCAAAATTGGCAGTGGTTGCTTTCTTGAAATTTCCAGTATCCAAACATGCGAGATGCAAAAAGACATGCCTTTCAGATCCTTTTGCACCTTTTGGGAATCAAACGGCTCAGTCCGTGCTACTAGGCTAGTGTGCTGTTCCCATCATCGCGCACTGCAACTTGCTGAGGAATGGACCTTTCGGTGGAGGTGCCGCGTGAGGTCCGGGTGCAACCAAAGTGTAGGCAGCATGCATTTCCCATGGTTTTTTGCCTCAACTGTCAGAGATGCCCCCAGATGAGCATGCTTTAATTCATTTCTAAAGGTTCAGCATGTTCAGCTAGATTCGTTTTCGATTCGATATAGGCTATATAGGTCAATAAACGAGTTATAACTCTTCAAGTCAGGCTTCATTTGGGGTGCGCAGTGTTTTTCATAGCGAGCCTTTCCTTCCACAGTTTCTGTCGTGGATCAGTGCATCGGGCATCAAGTGCTGACGCAATGCGCAGTCACAGTGCCATGATGGATCATGATGAATGCCAACTTGACTCCTTGGGTCGTCAAGTAGCGTTGGACAACCAAGGATGATTTGCGATGACCTGAAGGGAGGAGCATTCACTTTCTGCCAGCTTGAAAACCTAGCCCCAATTGCAGGGACGAACTGGTTGCGCCTGAAAGTTTGGACTTGTGAGCGATGTCACGAGCTCGACATGTCTGTT